TTCTTTTTTTTTTTTTTCTTTCTTTTAAAAGGGAACTAAATTATCAGCTGAACGACAATATGGTTCACGTTTCGCAATTATTGCATTGGTTACCTGTGCTTGGGTACTCTTCATTATGGGTTCATTTGCTCTACTTTATTTTATCAAACGTAATGATCGTATTCGAAATAAAATTGCAGATATAACACATATTAAAGGTTTATCAACAGATTATTATCAGGTAAAAAGAATTTTATAAAAATAGGAAAAAAAAGATATTATGTTTTTTCTTATTTCAAAAGGATTTATGTCGACAACGAATGAAAGCACAACCAACACGTCGTAAATTATCTGAAGTTCATACAACACATCAAACAGTACCATTCAATAGTCGTGTTAAACGTCATAGTGAAGTTTCATCATCACGAAGTTCAACATCATCATATATGGATGAATCTGTTACATCTGTTAATATGGATATTATGACAGGACATTTGATTCTAGTTTGTAGACTACTATAGATTTTTATACTTTATGTTTTGTTTTTTTATTAATTTATTTTTTAGTCTTATATGGAAGATCATCTTTGTAATCGACATCGTTTAGAATCAGAATGGGAATCGTTTTGTACAGATAAAATCTATGACGAACAAGCATCATGTTCTGTTGCACTTTCAGAAACTAACGAAAAAAAGAATCGTTATATGAATTGTATACCATGTAAGTTAAAACTATCTTTATTGTGACCTTTTCATTAAAGTAATGATGGATGCATATGATTGTACATCAGTTGACATTTATTTCCTTTTACTTTCACTTGTCGTCTCTTTTTTATTATATGTATGTGTTTTATCCGTGCCGCTGCCATCGGGTCACATATGTAAAATATAACTATCCAAAAGCGCCTCTATCATGTTTATATATAGATGTACGTAGAAGCACTTACATAAAAGAAAGAATAAGAAAAAAAAAAGAAAGGTAAGCGTTAGTTCCGCTTGTCTTTCTTTTCTTAGTATAGTTAATTAGAGTTGATAATCGAAATTCGAGTAGGATAACTCCTTTTTGTTTCCTTTTTCCATGCATGCGTAAGAAGATTTACTGTGTGCATGAGCTTCAATACTGTCTCAGAATTCAAATTGAAACATCATCACAATCAGGAAAAGCGTCTTGCATCTTTTTTTTCTCTTTATATTTAACAGATGATCATACACGTATTCGACTTGCAAACGATGATGATGGTGATTATATTAATGCAAGTAAAATTGTAAGTTCTTAATAATAATATCAAACTTTAATGAAAAATAACAAGCAAAAACAATCTTCATGTATTTTATTTAATTAGACTGACTCGGCTCCAAAATGCAAATACATCGCTACACAAGGTCCAATGCCAAATACAACAAATGCATTTTGGCAAATGGTTTGGGAACAAGGATCATGTGTTATTGTAGCATTGACTCGACCTAGTATAATGAATATATTGTTTTTCAATATGAAAATTTATGATAATCTGTTTGTTTTTTAGTTGAAAATGGTATTACGATGTGTCATCATTATTGGCCAGTAGAAGGTTCTGAAATATATCATGATTTTGAAGTATAAGAATTTATTTAAAAAACAAAAGAAAACTGAATTTAATTTTATATATCTATATATTAATAGGTTAATCTTGTATCGGAACATATTTGGTCGGATGATTATGTTGTTCGAAGTTTTTATTTAAAAAATATTCAAACAATGGAAACACGTACTGTAACACAATTTCACTTTTTAACATGGGATGAATTATGTAATCCACCATCAGCTAAAGTTGTACTTGACTTTCGACGGTATGTATGATTAAACAAAAAAAATGTCTGCATATATATATATATTTAAAAAGAATTAACAAATACTTGTACTATGCTTATTCATTTGTTTGAAATTAATCAGAGATACAAAAAGAATAGTTTATCACTTGAGATACAATTACAAATGAGTATGCATGCACGTGATTAAGTTCCATTTTTAGGTCTTTATAAGAAAAAAAAGAAAGATGGATGCAAACGAAGAAGAGAAAACTACTTTTTTTTGTCTAAATGATTATAACTAAAAAAAAGATGTATGTTACTTTTACGTCTTACTTTAATTAATGGGCATATACATCCACTATATGTAAAAAAAAAAGAAATTATATTTCTCTTTAGGCAGCTTTTGAAAATTATGCAATTTGAAGGTTAATAATTGCATAGTGACAAAAGCGACCTGATGAGAATTTTATCTGTTGACATAATTCTGTATGACTACAAAAAAGAAAAGCCTTTTCTATTCTATTCTATCCGACTTTTTTTCTTTTATACATTTATAGAAAAGTGAACAAATGTTTTCGTGGTCCATCATCACCACTTATTGTTCATTGCAAGTATGTATTTATATTATAATAAAAATTGTTCATTTATGTATTTATGTTTTCTTCTTATGATTAAGTGATGGTGTTGGACGTACTGGTACATATATATTGCTTGATATTGTCTTAAATCGTATTTACAAAGGAGCACGAGAAATAAATATTGCTGCTACACTTGAACACATTCGGGATCAACGACCTAAAATGATTAAAACAAAAGTATGAAGAAACAAAATTTTTCTAAAGAAAGAAAATGTTAATTTTTTATTATTTGTATTTTATTTAGGATCAATTTGAATTTGTCTTCGTTGCTGTTGCAGAAGAAGTAACTGATTTAGTAAAATCATTATCCCAATAAAGACCGACAATCAAAAAGACAAACCAAAAGTTCATTCATACCAACAATAAGATGCTGATGTTTTTCTCTTTAGTTTTTGTCAAAGAAAAAAATATTTATTGATGATGAATAAATAAATTGAGCATTTAAATTTATATGCAAAGTTTTGATAAGGGGGATATTGCACGAGGAACCTAACAAAACATGTATTCAAATGTGTCAAGAATTTGTTTTATACATATGTACCGAATTCGCACGTTCGGATTTGATCTTGACTATGATCATTATGAGTCAATCAAGTGAAGGAAATAAAAAATAGATTAGAAAAAGAACTTTAGGTTTGGCTCTGGTAGATCTACATATATTGGAATGAATTATTCGAAAAGCAGAATATCTGCAGACATACTAAAAAATGTCAACAATGTTCAAACAGGCTTGAAAATGAACCTTAGAAGTGCTTCCATATTTGCTAATATAAATCAAGAAACGCTTAGGCAACTACCTACATATTTAACACTGCCTGAACTTGCTGGATAGTACCAAGTTCTGATGCGTGTCTATTTTTATATAAAATAGCCACTTATGTTTTACTTGAGTTTCTATTATTCATTCTTGTCGTTTTTACCGAAGAACTATCGATCTTACCTATCTGTAATACTAAAACCTGCTATCAGTTTTCTAAATGTTTATTATAATGGCTGTTTCTTCTTGAATAATCTTAAATAACAAGATCAACCAAGGTGTTTTTTTTTTATAGCATTCTATTTTCTGACGATCGAAAATTGAATATCCTTTAGTAAGTATCACAAACATCAATAAAAGTATTTCATTTGTTTCTAACGAGAGAACATAGCTAATTACTAATTGCCAATCGAAGTGATATTTTGTTCATAAGTACAACTGAATGAAAAATTTCGAACAAGATGTAGAGCAGCTTTTCGAAATACTGAATATTTAAAAGAAAAACAATTATGTACCACAAAAAAGTCATAAAACTAAGTTTAATTCAACATGCCGAGAAGGTACTATCTGCTTTTGGTGATCCTTTTACGATAATCTAAGGATCAAGAGACCTATTTATGGGCAAAACTTCAAAAGAGTTTTTATTTTTCTATGAATATGTTGTCCTAACCCGAAAACCTCATAAAACGGTCATAAGTGTATAAAAACCGTCTACAGATGGAAATCTTTCATAATTTTTCTAGTTTCATTGAGTCCTAGTTACAAGCAATATATCACTTCGATCGATGGCTAACAATTGCATACATTCTTGCGTAAATGTTTGATAAAATCTAGTAAGTCATTGACATTATTTCTTAGCATTATCAACATGGGTCTGCGATCTTGAAATTGGCAATTCGAAGTAGTCTGAGAAAAATAAAACTAACGAAGGATGTAGCATGAACTTAATGCAACAATTCGCCAATAACAATGCTAATAGTTTCATTTCGATAGAATAATATAAGATTAATCTTTAAATGATTTCATGAGTTTCAATTGAACTCCATGAATTCTCTAAATAGCTTTGAATTTCTTTAAATTACTATTCTGTTATTGTAGATTGCAGATACAGGTATATCTAAGCTATACATCTATCTTGAATCCTTAGATGACGATTTTATGTTTAGAACAAATATAGTAAAATTCTATTTTTAACATCATGGAATGGTGAAGAAGTTTTTGGGCTTTGACTTAATTTAAAGATGCAATGCTTTTACCCAGTGACATCTATATCAGAATACAAGAAATATTGAAAACGGTTGGTTTACTATATTTTTGACTTCGTTCTCTATTAAAACTTTGAAAAAGTAAATTTACGGGTTTCGCTATCGAACAATAAAATTGCCTTGAATTTCTAATACTGTCACACTGCTGAATTGAAACTCGTTCAACCGATTCTTTTACGAGTGAAGATGATGTAAATAAGAAACAGCGTCGCCACATTCAAGGACATTTAATTGGAACAATAATACAAAAATTATATTAGTTTAACATGAAGTAAATAATAACTAAAATTTTATAATGAATTAATTAAGTGAACTTTTTTTTCTAACTATCACATTAACTTTTTCATTGCTTAATTTTATGAACAAATGAAAATATAAAGACTATCTAATGACGTCATATGAGTATAAAACTGTCAGAAGAACGATTTGTTTAATAGTTATAAAACTTCATATATTTCTCAATCTAAGAATCATTTTATTATAGAAATAATAAAATGACTTATTTTTATTTTCATTTCTTTTTTTTTTTTGTAAGATAAATATCTTATTTCAAATATGTTTACCAACTTGAATGCATTTAATTTTAATGGAAAACAAAAATCATATACATATTTCAAATGTTTCCTCATTAACTAATAATTCAAATATTGAAACAAATACATCGCCAATTTCATTTGTCATATCAACTTCTATAAATCCTTCAATATCATCATTAGATCATACAATATCAAATAAAACCTATTCCGAAAATCTTGTTATTATTCAGCCAACAGTCAAGTATGAAAAAAAAAACGATGGAATTACGAACTTAATTTATTATTATTGCTATTTTGTTTTTTCCTCATTTAGTAAATTATTAAGTGAAACGATAAAACAAGAAGAATTTGAAAATCAATCTATTGAAGAAGCGTATTCAATAAGCAATCGATCAAACACTAATATCAGTCAATTACTACCGCCACCAACCGGTTATTTAGTTTCTTTTTTTTTTACATATCAATCATGATGTGTTTTGATTTCCTTTAGTAGTCACAGCTATTCCTCTTAAACCACGTGAAACTTTAAATAGTGTATCAACTGTCCCAATGACAAATACTAGTAGTCATCTTATGTCAACATTAAATCCAGCTCATTTATCAGACAGTGCTGGATCATATTTTGTTTCAGGTATAAATGTAATGGTTTATATTGTTAAGATAAATTCTTTTTATTGATTGAAAAAAAAATAGATCTTCTGATCACATAAAGAAAATATTGAAACGTCTGTTTGTTTATTTGAAGAATTTATATTATCAAGTGAATCAATTGATTGTTAGTGAACTGAAAACGAAAAAGATTTTGGATAGTAGAGAAAAGTTTTTTTTTTTTTCGAATATTGGAAGACATTTATTTAGGCATACTCAATTTATTTATCATTCTGAATTTCTTTTCAAATTCTATGAATTTTTTTAAAGAGATTATAGTGACATGTACTCTGTCGGTGTTGTTGCATAAAGAATGTTGGTTTGTCAATGACACGTGAAGTGCAACATATGTCAGACTTCTATTTTCAGCTAAAAAGCAATCAAAATATATATGTTTGAAAATGAATGGAAATAAAACTGGAATATTTGATGGCTTTATTTCATTTACCGTCTGTTGTGGAACCATCTCATTTCATCTTTGAACTTTTTCACTCCAATCGAGATCTAATAGATGTATAATTTCAAGTTCTATCAACTTATAGCGATTTTCAATAGTATAGTTTCGAGAATGTCTTTTACTAAAACTCAGCTTAAACAAATCATAGCCTAAAGGATTGATTGCCTAAAGTCTCTATTAGAATATTGAGATTTAGTACTGTGATTATGTGTTCATCAATGATAAGTCTCTAGTGTTCTTGTTTTAATTTTAGGATTGAGTGATCTAGCATCAAATTATAAATTAAATCCATCATCAAATACTGATTTGCCATCTCCATCATCTTCATCTAATTCTTCAAATCCTCCATCATCAAGTCAACAACAACATCAGCAACAGCAACAACATCATCTTCATCCGCATCAACATCATCAAGTAAGACGACATGGAGAAGGTAATGATCCAACACGAAAACGAGAAATGCGTTTGCAAAAAAATCGGTAAGATTTATTCTCTTTTTTTTCTCGTTTGTACTCATTCTTATCATTTTTTTTTAATTTTAGTGAAGCAGCTCGTGAATGTCGTCGTAAGAAAAAAGAATATATAAAATGTCTCGAAGAACGTGTAGCTGTACTTGAAACTCAAAATAAAGCATTAATTGAAGAACTAAGACAATTAAAAGAACTTTATTGTCAACGAGAAGAAACAAATAATAAAAATAGTTCTAAAACAACTACAACAACATCAGCAACACGTTAAAGACAAGAACAGTATTAGTATTTCTTTTTTCTTTATTAATTATACTTATTTGTTGTGCAACAGTGTGTATTTTTTGTTTGCCGTGTTTATATTTTTCATTTAATGTGATCTGTTTTGTATTTGAAAACTTTCTATTTGTGACAATATAAAAAAAAAGACATTATGCTATATTCTTTTTAGTTTTTGTTCATGTAATATTTGTTTTTCTATTCGTTTATTTTAGACATGAGTATCGACGAAAATTAAAAACGTAAGTTTTTCTTAATCAAAAGATTAACTTTTAATCGAATATTTTTTTTCAAATAACCAAGTCTAGAAAAAAAAACATATGCTTTACTAAATTCAATCTTCATTTTTAATAAAGATCATGTGCTGAAAATAAAAAAAAAAACAAATGAAGACTAGTTTCGGTTTTGAAAAATCGAAATTTATCGATATTTATTTGTAATTAAATAACTAGCCAAAAACCGATTCAAACATTATACAGTTAATGCTAAACAGAGGATCTTATGACTTTAGTCATTACAGATGCATCAAGTTGTAGGACGTTATTTTGTTTTTGAAGAATTCTATAAAAAGAATTTGGTATGTGTTTTTGCAGATATCAATGGAAAATTTAGGACAAGACGTGACTTCAGAGATGTACACCACAATCCCTTTAAGTTATATCATCTGTTGAACTCTATTGATAGGAATTTTTTGACAAAATAGTGTACATCAAACGCTGAAAATTTATGAGAAGACATTTAATCGTTTAAAGACTCATTCTGTCTGAGATATCGTTTGTGTTATTACCTTTTGTCATACTTATTTGTTAAATTTATCAATTAAATTGTGATCAATATTGATTAGCAATTATTCTGATAACGACTCAACTTATCTCAAAGCTAAAGGGATTTCATTGTGACAAGTATTATATTTAAACTCACACGGTAAATTTAAAATTTGTAGAAATTTAACTAAAAAAATAAGCTAAGACCGAAAACGAATATTCTACAAATATATAAATGTTTGTCTACATCTTGCATAATTAAATATTCTTAAAGAGCAGAAAACATGACGAAAAAAATCAAAAAAAAACAAGTCTTTCAGTCATCATCAGGATTAACCGTTCCACGTTTATCAAATAAAGTGGACGTGAAGCGATCGCATCACTGATCGAGAAGACTTTAAGGAGAGACCGCCTTCACCGCTATCACTTTGATTTTTAGGTACGGTGCACATATTTCATTGATTTATTGTTAACATGCTTTTTTGCTTCGAAATATTTCATATCCTATGAACATGTAAACACCGTGAGTTAAATAAATCATCAAACTTTTTCTTGAGATGCGCCAATTTTAATTTTTGAACTTGGTCAGACGTGCTGCTTCCTTACTCTCTAGACAAGAGTAAATCTAGTAACCATTTTTGCTCATTCATATACTTCTTTGCACGTTTGTCCTGCATTCTATGCATTTTCATTCTTATTTTCTCATTATTCATCGGTTGTTCGTTCTCTGTTGCTCTCGTCATCATATTTAAAACAATAGTGATTCTTTATTTACCAATGAATTCCTCTCTCTCTCTTACAGTTCACTCATCTACGACTTTATTGTGTCTATGTTGCATTTCATAGAACTTTATCATTGGTTTCACTTCAACAACGGTAGACTTTGAAAATTGGTTCTATTTTAAAAAGAAGTAGAACAAAAATGAACCGCTCGATTAAATTATTCTTGAATATCTCTTATGCAATGGTGAGCAGATTATATACAAATGTTTAGCGCAAATTCACCTATACCACTAACCTACTTTTAACATGTAATCGCTTTGAATATTGATGCTGAAAAGTGTATTCCTATTAAAAAAACATTCTAATCAAATACGAATATTATATTCTTTAAAAATTTATTCAAATAGAAAACTTCTAAATATAGAATCATGTTGTTTTTAACAAAGCTTAAGATGAATTGATAAAATTGTCTTTCTATTCAATACTTTTACTATTAATATCCAGTTGCTTCTTATTCTTATTTTTTTTTTACAATTCATCTTATTATGTTTTTATATTCTACGCATATCTTTATTTTACTTCTCTAATACTTATTTGATCTACACACTTGGTTGATATAGTTCAAAAGTTTACTTAAAGAGATTCGACTTAAGATTTATTTTATCGTATTGTCACATGTCATCTTAAGATAAAGAAACAATGACTAGAAAATAGAATAAAAATCAGTTTGTCTAGAACATGATTTATTAAATTTAATACTTCGACATATACATACATATTAAGAAGGCAACTTAAGTGAAAAGCGAAATGTCACGTTCTTCTAAACATTTAATTAACATAAAAGCTTTGTTTTTTCTCTGCAAAAGATCATACGTCATTGAACTTTCTTTATTAATAATAATCATTTTCAAAACAAAATTTTATACTTTTTTGCTGATATTTTATACTTCATGAATTTTGATCCTTAAACAATGACACACAATGATAATAGAATTTAAATAAATGTTCTTATCATCAATATGCTCTAACAAAAAACGCACAAGTATTTTTGATAACATTTCACTTTGCATTCTGTGTCACGTTTTTTTATAAAAACAATCCTACTGATTATTATTTTCTGTATTTAGCATGACGAATATAGCGGTTCCATCAGCACCAATTTCATCTAGTCTTCATCGTTCACATTCTGATCGTGATCTATTAATAAATGAACGGCGTCTAACTCGTGCTCGTTTAAATAGTTCATCATCGTCATCAAATCTTACATCATTATCTTCAACTATTAATTCTAAAACAGCATCATCATCATCATCATCATATACAACGGCATCATTATCATATACAACGGCATCACCAACACCAGCATTTCTTCCATGGGATCGTTTACATAAATGGTTATATGGTATTGCTATTGTAACATTTGATCTTGAGTTAGGACAATCAATAGAATTAATTTTACCAAATCATTGTAAATTAACAGATAAAGAAAAATTAAATTTATCTTATTTATCATTTCCCGATACAAATTCAACATGTCTAGGTGATTTTCAATATCATTTTCGTATGAGTCACGAATTATTAAGTTTAACAACAGATTATCAATATTATAATTCAATTGTTCCAGCTGCACTACAAGTTGATAATAATTCATTATTTGGTTATGTTAATTTTCGTCAAATACATGATAAAACAATCAAACGTGGATTTTTTCAAAAATCATTTGTTCTTTTATCAAAATTACCATTTATTTCACTTTTTTTAACCATTGTTAAGCAGCTTGCTATAAATTATTTTCAACATGGTTTAACAAGTTTAGAATCGTGTTGTCATCTAATGGATTGTCAATGGCCAGAACTTGAACCTGGTAAAACATTATTATTACCTTTATTAGATACTGTTCTTCAAGTACGCATTCCAACACATGGTGATAAACCATTTTCATCATCAGATCTTATTCAATTTCGTTCAATTGTTAATGAAACAATGGCAACAAATGTGAATAGTAATAATCATAATCAAAGTCATTCATTTAAATTTCCTATAGATGATGATATTGAAATTGATATACCAACAAAAGATACATCTGAACATGAAGTAAACAAAAATATTCATTGGTCTTTTTTTCTTAACTAAATATTTAATTTAGATAAAACATAATACCGATACAACTGTTGAGTTTGTTACAAAAAATGAACCCCAACAATTACCATGTCTGATACCATTTGTATATGATGTTAATACATATCAATCATTATCATGTGTTTTAACACATATTCAACTTTTATGGGAATTGGTTTTGCTTAATGAACCAATTGCAATACTTGGAAATTTTCCAACGAAATGTTCACAAACTGTTCAAGCACTTGGTAAATTATTTTCATCGATTTTTTAATAGTATCTTTAGTCAGATTGCTGATAAGTTAGAATATAAATAAAGATAATTCTACAATAAACGAGAGCGTTTCTAGCAATATCTATCAAGATTCCCATAATGGCAACTATTAGATTGATTTTACTTTGGATAGATGTTAACATTCATTAATGTGAAAAAATTATTAATATAATATATTTCAGACTTAAAGTACCAAACATATCAATGCTTCGATTTCTATAACATTTTTAATTTTGTTTTTTTTTTCGTGATATTTCTATCTGAATCACACTTCAAGTGAGACTTAATGCAGCATGAACCAAACTCGAACTCTACTGCATTGTTCGGGTTCGGAACTTATTTAACCAGTTCAGATAGTGTTGAGTGTTTGGGTCATTGCCCAAGCATTTCTTGACCTATACGAACAATCATGGAAGCTACATACGATTCGAGTTTTTCTGAACATTCTTGACATGGTTTTGGTATATCTAAAGTCCGTCGGTTTTTCGATCATTCATTTCAGTACTTGTAGATCTATCATAGCCAAGTATGACTTGCATCGTTTATATGATGAAAATAACTCGTCTTCAAGTCATGTACTTGCTGTATTAGATCAAAAATACGAACAACAATATCTTCTGATTTTGCTCAACGTATTGGTTGTAAGCCCTACGCAAAAATAAATAGAAACTATACACTCTGCCATTTGATATTTCATTTTGTTGAGTGAGAAGATGCATTTCAAAAATGCGTATTTCCGTTCAAAAAGATGAGATATAGAATATTTAATCGTGTAGTTTCCATTTATTTCTGGGTAGACTACACGACCAGTTTTGAGCAAAATCAAAAAAACATCTTTCTTAGAATTATTGAACTAGCGCAGCAAGTAAATAACATAGAGCAGTAATATTTCAATTAGATTAATTATGAAAATGATTCTATAATTGGATGAAAATTCCAGTTCAATATGCTGAACACGTCTATAAATAGTACATAAACAAGATTGTTAGTCAGGTCATAACCAATTTTGAGTACTACTAAGTATAACAAATACTTCCTTGTCTATAATAGAAGACTCTTATCTTCTACTATGTCTCACCGGATATATGTTTCAGAATATCATCTATTTCATTA